AGAAATTTTACGATCCTACTTTTGCGCGATTAATAAATAAATAAACGAATGAATGAATACGCACCCCGGGTGGACCAGGAGGTCCTCGCAAGCCTGGAACGCCCATTGGCCCGTCTCGTCCCGGTTCGCCTTTCTGTCCAGGACGACCNNGAAGACCGTCCAATCCGTCGTAACCTCGATCGCCTTTCCGTCCAGGTGGGCCCGGAGGACCCGAGAAACCATCCCTACCCTGGTATAAAAATTTCATTTGTACACACATGGTTACATTATACTAGTCCGTCATTTTCCCCATTTTCAATTTTCGTTTTGGAAATAATAAATAAAGCGAATCGGAAGTAAACTTACGCGAATACCTGGCGCCCCTGGAAGACCTTTCTCTCCTTTCATACCCGGACTACCAGAAATACCTTGATCTCCGATTGGACCCGGCTCTCCTTTGAAACCGTCCGGCCCCATTTCACCCTAACGAGATGAGATGGATAAACAGGATAAAATGGAAACAATGGGCAACGAGAGAGAGAAAGAGAGAGAGAGATCGCGAATCGCGTTACGTGTAATACCTTGTCTCCTTTTTCACCACGGTCCCCTTGCGGAGCTATTACTTCTTCCGTCATTCCATGGAACGGTTCCAGAGGGCCGGGCGTTCCGGGAGGTCCTATCTCCCCCTTCTGACCTTTGTCACCCTTCGGACCCTCGAACGCAAGACCCATATTTCCCTTTTCTCCCTTTTGCCCTTGCAACCCTATCGGACCCTGAATAACGAATTTATATCGTTAGAAATAATATCGATACGATCGGTACGACGACCACGACGACGATGACGATGCGATGGTTGCTTACAGGTGAGCCACGCTCGCCCTTCGGTCCTGAAAATCCGTGCTCTCCTTGCGGTCCCGGTGGACCTGGGGGCCCTCTCACGCCATCGATACCGGGCTCACCCTTTTGACCTACGGGGAATCTCCCGGCGAAACCTGGTTGACCCTTTTGCCCCTTCAGCCCAGGAGGACCTCGAAAACCGCGGGGACCAACCTCTCCGGGATAACCACGCGCACCAGGCTCACCCTGAACCAATCAGGACCGTATGTTTGAGATGTACGTACATCTATATATATATGACAAAGGACAGAAAGATAGGATCGAGGTAAACGTACGTCTGTTCCATTGCAACCGTCACGACCCGGAATACCTGGAGCTCCGGGCGGACCTTGAACCCCGGGCACACCAGCGATACCAGTGAATCCAGGTACACCCATTTTACCCTAGAAAGAAAACGCAACATCGAACGCAAAGAAAAATAGAAATGTAGAAATAATTTGGAAAATTTGTATACGTACCCTATCACCTTTCGTTCCACGCGGTCCCTGAGGACCAGGTTCACCTTTGTCCCCTTTTGGCCCCAACAAACCTTCCGCACCCGGAAATCCCCTCTGACCTTTCGGCCCCTGTGGTCCTAATATACCCGGTGGTCCCTGGTGCGATAAACAAATAAATGAATAAAACCATCTATATTAATTGTATACGTTCGACGAATCACTCACTCTGGAGCCTTTCTCCGCGAAACATTTGGGCACGCAGCAAGCCGATCCGGTACAATTCCGAGGTGGGATCTGTCCCGGAACCGGCACAACCGTGTAACTGCTCGGATAAGTGTCCGAACCGTCCCCAGCCGCGCCGTATCCCCCTCCTCCGCGCTGCGAATATCCGCGCTGGTCGTAAGGATCTATCACGCGTCCGTAATCGTCCCTCGATCCATAAGTTTCTCGGTATCCATTCCCGTAAGAACCTCTGCTGCCCTCCCCTTCCCTTCCGTAAGAGTCCTCGTAACCTCGAGACCTTCCGTAAGTATCGCCAGATTCTTGATTGTAAGGATCCAAAGGGATTTGTTCTCGGCCTTGATTGTACGATCCTTGATCGAAGCCGGCTGAGAGGAAGAGATTAGATTCCGGTTAGAGTGGTAGTAGTAATAGATGGACCGCGAGAATCAGAGAATTGTGGAAGTGGATCGGAATGAATTTGAAACCGGTGGTGGTTGCAAATAGCGGCAGAATAATAGAGGGGGTTATCGCGCGATCGATGCAATTTTGATGGAGTTGGATAAGTTCGAGTAAGTTTTTTTAACGAAATTTCGAAAATTCTTAAACACCAAGGGGGATTAAATTGATGCGTGACTGAAAATATAATTTTCCGAATAAACCACCAACTCGACGATGCGGAAAAAAGTTATGAAAGTTTTACGAAAGTAAAATCCGTTTCGAAGCTTGTGAATTTTATACCTATCTTCGAAATTCAACTTTCTACTATTAGAGCGTTAAATTTTATGGAACATCGTAAATTTGCACGCGCACGATAACCGCTGATATTATCGCTGATTAATAGGAAACTATTATACAACGCATATTATACAATTTAAGGACAAAAGATAAACGGTCTCGTTAATTATCGGACCGAGGTAAAATTTTGAAATTAGATTACCTTTAAAGGAAATAAATCTAAACATTTTCTGAATGATATTGTATTGAGAGAAATTATATTGGTATTAAATGTTAGAACAGAAGAGATGCAAAAAAAAAAAAAAAAAAAGATCGAGAATATTAAAGGAATTGTATTATTTATATATAAAAATCTGCATCTGTCTTATATAATATCTTGTTTCTCGGAATTATAATATTACCATAATTGGTATGATATCCTCCCCCGGAATCGTCGGTTCTTTGACCGTAATCGTATCGATCATCGTCGATCGGACCTTGATTGCTTAAGTACCGCCTGTCCGCTTCATCCGAACCTAAGGATTAAGATGCGAAATAAATTATGAAATGAAACGTTGTATCGAAATCCAACATTGAATAAGAAAAAGGGAAAAAGGGAAAAAGAATAGAGAGAGAGAGAGAGAGAGAAAAAATTAAAAGAGAGAATTTAACGAGAAAAGCAAATATCATATCAAATACCAAACGGAAAATTAATTAAATAATTTTTGTAGATTTTAGATTGAAAGAAAAAAATTCCGAGCTCGGAGTTTTTTCACTCCATATGTTTTTTAACAAATCTTTTTGCAAAGATAATCTTCCATTTGGATGATGTATAAAACGAATGTAAAAAAAAAAAAAAAAAAAAAAAAAAAGGGGGAAAAAATTTTAAATTATAAAATTTTTTTTTTTTTTCATTTTCTTTTTGAAAAAATGAAAAAAAAAAAAAAAGGGGGAAAAAATTTTAAATTATAAAATTTTTTTTTTTTTTCATTTTCTTTTTGAAAAAATGAAAAAAAAAAAAAAAGGGGGAAAAAATTTTAAATTATAAAATTTTTTTTTTTTTTCATTTTCTTTTTGAAAAAATGAAAAAAAAAAAAAAAAAAAAAAAAATAGAGGTAAAAATATTATACTATTAAAATTGTTTTTTTTTTTTCCATTCTCTATAAAGGAAATCGAGAAAAGAGATAAATTCTATACCTTCGTTATTCGTAACAAAAGTTTTCCATCGTGGTGAAATATTATAATCGTCATCGGTATTGTTCGGTTTTCCGATATCACCCCGTCCGAGAGGAACAACAGGCGGAGGATTGTACGACCATGACGTATGATTATATTGCTGGAAAAAAAAAAAATGTATAAATTAAAAAAACGCAAATTAAGGAAAGAAAATTGGATTTATATATATTTCTTTTCCATCTTTTCCATCTACGGAAATATTATAAAATAAATTGTAAAGATATACTTTAGAAACGATGTACTACATGTTCGATAATCGATATGGAAGTACGCGATGAATGTATCGACTGAGATCTAAAGATCCGACGGACCTCGAACGATCTATAAACTACTTTACCGACAAACTACGTATATCGATGATCGATAATCCATTGAAAAATTTTATTTTTCATAATATTTTTGCTTATAAAGAAATTGAACAAATCGTTGTTACAATTGGCCTAAAAGATAATTATGAATAATTGGATAGAGAAACGATAAGAAGAAGGAAAATAATCAGAATCGGAACAGATAAAATAAAATAAATTATAATACGGTATTATTTATGTTATTAAAAAATAAAAAAGATCAATATTCAACTCGTGAAGATATAAATTTATCGTGAATTTTAATCTTTACAAATTTTCTATAAAAATATTGTGAAAAACATATATATAGTTGAAAAAAAAAAAAAAAAAGAAAAAAATGTAACGTGACTCGACTCGATTAAAAAATAAAAGCTACATTAAACTAACCACACTGTAATGTGAAAACGTACAGCTAAGCATATGTATCAAATATAAAGATTAAACGTATTTTCAAAGCATCTTCTTACGTCTTAATACTTCTAAGATAACGGTCGATAAGTTATTACATACGCTTCTTATATGGCAGAGCACGTTTCATTTTTAACCCGCGAAATTTTTATCGTATACTTTTTTTTTTTATATATAATTTACTCGCAATACGAAAAAACTTAATATGGATCGTCGACGAGCATCGAATATCGTAATTCTCAAACGCGTCAATATCGACGAACGTATGTTAAACTTTATTTCGATCGAAACATCACGATTCTTCGAAGAATTAACGCGCGACGTGTCAAATATATATATTTACCGTACAAACGTGTAAACGAGATGTATATGAGCATTACCAAGGATTGAGAAAATGATTCGATAGACGAATGAAGATATTTTTCGAAATCGATCTGTGATCTATTCCACGTCCGGCGATATAGAAATTAGCTCGGTCCAGTGGATGCGTCATCGCGTTCGCGAAAAGTCATTGTCTTGCCCTCATTTTCACGTTTTATCCTTTTTAAGTTTCGGGATGGAACGCGCTGACAGGAAGCGCGGAGAGATAACGTTCGCTCGTTATCGTTTCGAAATGACGCGCCGTACGCTCTGTTCCCCCTTTGATTCCCTTTCTGGCCACGCTTATTAACGTTTCCCTCGAAAAAGATGAATGAAAATGTGGGTATTATCGAAACGGAAGATACTCGTTTCACGAGAGAGAGAGAGAGAGAGAGGACGTCTTGGGAAAGTTCGAGAAAGGAAACGAGGGAGAAAACCGATATAGATTACAATTTTTCTTCTCCACGTGTAAATTATTTCGTTGAATCGCGTATCGTTTTTCAAATCTTCGTTCCAGAATAATAGCGGGGTAGCGCGTGTTACGATTTAGCCATTGATAATACGATAATTCGCAACGGCCTCGCGACCAGTTAAACGCGAAACAGATTTGACTGACATCATTGCTGAAAATATGTTGGGGATTATTACGCTTCTTTTCGATTTCGCGCGCCGTTCGTGGAAATCAAAATTTTCTTCTCGCGAAATCGTATCGTTACGAATCGTTCACCGATCGAGGCGAGGCACGTATAAAATTTCGGAAATAGAGCTTGATAGGTGGCGAGCACAAAATTTAACAGTAATAGTAAACCTAAGTGAAAATAGCAATTGAAAATTGAGATTAAAAACAACAAGTACGCTATGAATACGAAATTGACATAATTATCATACGATAATATACTTATTTCCAAACAATGAATCACAGATATTACGTAGCTACGTTAGCGTTAAATTATTCCATTTCGCTTTAATCTACGATGATGGAAGATAAGGGAGAAGAAAAATTATTTTCAACGTCTCCCGATCCGATTTATCCCGATCTAAATTATCGATTACACGTGGAAACTGTCTCGACAACTGTCGAAGCGTCTAGAGAAAACTAGAATTTTCGATCGCCTCGATCGGTAAAATGAACCGAATTACGTCGCGCGCATCCATCCGAAATTCGACCTCGCTCGACCAAGCCAGTCCAATTTTCCAGATTCCAACGCGGATCGCTATCTTCTCGCGACGGTTCGACAACGGTTCGTCCCTTTTATCGTTTCGTTTCTTCCTTCGCGAATCCGCGATTACATAACACCACGTTCTTACCTCCTTCGATCTTTTCGCGGCTCGTCGACGCGGCGCGCGTTTAAATGGCGAGTCAACAAAGCGTAGGACGAGAACCCTACGCCAATTCGTCGGTCGAACAACAATCTTTACGACGTTTCGACGCGAAACGCATTCGCGTCGAGATGGAGAGAATCGAGCGATTCGTTTCGCCTCGTTCCCTTCTCGAGATAGCGTGGAATGTTCCGATCATCCGTATCGCCAACGGTATCTTTGTTGTCTTAAAATTTTTCTAGCCGACGTTTCACTCCCGTCTTATTTAAGCAACGACCACCTATCGTCGTCGACGATACGACGATCGCTTCTTCGCCAACGATAACCGCACGAGAGCCGTACGTTGCAACAGATATTACTTTAGCTATCTTTTAGCGAAAAAAGAAGAAGAAGAAGAAGAAGAAGAAGCGTTCTCGTTAAAAATTGGTGCGTAATCGAAAACGATCCGTAATATCGTCTATCGCGATATTATTCCTCGTCGAAGTCTCGTTGCACGGTTCTCGAACCGTTAATTGCTCCTCTTCCAACCGTGAAACGAGATTACATACACGATCGTAACAACTATCCGTCGTAATCGCGATTTCGTCGGACTCGCGATTTATCTTGCGAGTTATGCCCCCTTTAAGAGCCTTTAACACGCGATCGACTCGACGACGATCGTCATTAATCCCGCGGCAACCGCTCCGTAAACCCGTTTCTCCGACTAAACACTTTCGCTACGACACGAGTCGCGTTCCCGCCTCGCCGAATCATTTTTCGCGTTTCACGCTTCGTACCGAGCTCGAAAAATTAAAACCAACGTTGAGATAACATTTTGTTACGTATGTACGTCTCTTATATATAGGATAACGCATCCGCGAAACGATGATCGATTACGAACGACGTATCGATATGCGTACGAGGGGGAGGGGGGAAAGAGAGAAAGAAAAGAAAAGAAGAAACCAATCTACTATCAAAATAAACGTATCGTTATCGAATCGAGTCTCGAGCAAACGAGTCTAAGAGATATCGAAAGAGAGAGAGGAGAGAAAACCCGCGCCAAGTGATCGGAAACGATCGGAACTTTGATTTTTAGAGGAACGATCGGTGTGAAAATCGAGCGATTTAAAAGAAAAGAAAAGTCGGATAGGAAAGTTTTTCTTGACAATGACGAGGATCCAGGCAATGGTGGTCAATCGCCAACTATTTTCAATAGTGACTAAGGTTGGTTCGCGTGCGTGTACGTATGACGCGGTTAATAAAATTACACACACCGGCGCGGTTACGACGCCTCGTAGGCGGACTAGTCGCTAACAGACGACTGCCCTATTTCGAATTTAACACCTTTCCATCGTTGGTAGACGACAAATCTGGTAAAACGTTGTTATCGCATCCGCGACCGATGTTCGCGTTATCGACTCTGCGCCCTCGATGCATACCGCATCGCGAAAATAAGCTGGTTAAAAAAAGAGGAACGATATTCGCGTTATCGAGATTTTATTTCTCGTCGAGAATTTTTTCTCAAAATTGCATCGTTTCCCCGCGAAATCGGAATCCGCGCTTCGTCGAAAGATAAAAACAGCTCGTCCGGATTCGTTCGATAGAGGTAAAGAAAAATTGGGGAAAAATTTCTCCGAAAGTACAGTTATTGTTTCGCTAAGTCGAGAACAGAAACGGCGATATATTCCTCGATACTATTAAAAAAATGGATTGAAACGTCGTCGAGTCGTTATCGAAGGTGAATGAATTAGCTACGTATCCAATCCCATTATCCATTTATGCCAATTTATGTCAATGCTACTGCGAAAGATGTACGAAAGATCGCTCAAGCTTCTGCTTAATTAAATTACCGTTTGATCGTTCGGACGCGAACGACGAGTATAAATTCAAAAATTGTATCTACCCTCGATATATATATATACACATACACGCGATTATATAAATTTTCGATAAAAGATCTATTCGAAAAATAAAATTGGACGATCGACGAGCGGAAAGGAGCGATAAGCGAATAGCGCGTTATCAGCGCCAAGATTATTCGACGGGGTCGGATCGACGCGACGGAATCGCGTTCGAGAATCGCACGCTTCTCGGTCGTGGAGAGGAGGCGAGAGAAGAGAAAAGAGGAGCTAGATCCGATCGATCGAGACGCGTCCTTGGCTTTTTCGCCCCCTCGCGACCCGATCGCTTCTCGATCGGGCGCGGACGAAACAGCAGGGCGGACAAAGGAGGAGAGGCGGAGGGTCGGATCGCACGCGCCACGAAACGCGATCTCCTCTCTACTCGATCGGGTTCGTTGTTTCGCTGCGAACGTGCACGTGCATCGCGTGCACCGATGCATCGACGCGACCGTCGTCGTCGTCAACGTTGTTGTTGTTGTTGTTGTTGTTGTCGTCGTCGTCGTCGCGGATCGAACGGTACCGCACGGAACGCGGCGGGTCGAAATGTCCAACGATTGAGCTAACGATTCTACGTACCCCACTCGCTATCCCGGCCAGGAACACTGCGGATGCGACGAATCTGAAAAGAATACATTTTTCGTAATTATTCGCATCGCGAACGTGCTGATCCCATCAAGCATCCCATTTTTCTCGTCGATTTTTCTCTTTTCGATTAACCAAGAATATCCAAGTTAGAAATGAGAGAGGCATAGGACGAGCGAAAAATTGGAATAGGGGAAGGGATTTTTACAACTTTTCTCAATACCACCATCGATCTCGTCGATTCGATCGAAAAGAGGAGAAATTGGAAAAAATTTGATTTCGAAAATTGGATCGACTACGCGTACGAAATATCGAAAACATTTTGAGAGGAAATAATGGACTAAACGCGCGCGAATCTCGTCCTTGAAATTTCGCATCCGTCGGTATCCGGATAACGGGGAGATGAAAGTGCCCCCTCTGTCGTTAAAATACCTATGGCGCGTGCACGTTGGAAAATAAAGGGTGGATACAGGTAGCGGAGAGGAGACGACAACAGGGGAAAAAAAGTAAGACGAGCGGAGAGAAGAGAGGAATTATCCGTGAGATGGAAGATCCGCGAGGAGAGGAATATATATATATATATACGTATTGGAAGAAGAATAACCCTTCGCTTCCGCGTCACGCGGAATGGAAAAGCGCATCGCGAGCACGACACCGAAAGCACGTGTATCCGCGCGATACGCGTAACGAGACACAGGTTGACGAACCGACGAGTACGGTGAAAGAGAAGAAACGGAAGGAAGGAAGGAAGGAAATCCGCGCGGAGGAAAAAGAAGAAAGAGAAAAAAGAAGAGAAGAAAAGCGAGGAGAGAAGAATGGCAACTCACCGCAATCCCAACCGGGTCATTTCGAGCTCCCTATTCCTGGACGGGTCTAGGGAGCCGAAGAACACAGGCTAACAACACGAGCACCGCACCGACAGGCAGTCACAAAATATCGCGGGGAAGC